TTTTAGAAATTCTCAACGCATTCGCTATTATTAAAAAAAACTTGGATGCATCAGAGAGCGACAAACGGATGCGTCAGAGGGTGACAAACAGATGGGATCACTTAAGATCAACCATGGGTAATCCGAGTACATGATACATAGGTACAACATATCAATAGTTCAAAAGGAAAACAAGACAACATAATGAAAGTTCTAGTACATAGCTACATTGATCATTAATAAAGCATGGAACTAATAGACGGCGCAATCAAAAACCCTCAGTAAGAAACATATTGAGTATGCAACTCGTCGTCCGAGTATCAATCCTCTACCACAACCCTGTTGTTGTGTCTAGGGTCACCTGCATTGCCCTAATCTGCCATTCGCCTGTAGTAAGCGGCCTCGCTTCATCTGCGGCCTCTACGGCCTGAGTGAAGAACGCGTCGTTATCCTCCTCCGCCTACAAGCCCGCCTCTACTAGAGCGATGAGCTCGCTCAGTCTGCCAGTGTCGTCCTCAGCCTCCTCTGTCTGTAAGCCCGCCTCTGCTAGAGCGATGAGCTCGCTGAGTCTGCTAGTGTCGTCCTCAACCTCCTCCGCCTACAAGCCCGCATCTGCTAGAGCGATGAGCTCGCTCAGTCTGGTAGTGTCATCCTCATCCTCGTCCCCCTCATCAGACAACATAATCGGTGATTGAACGGTGCGACCAGGTCGCGTTTTGTGCTCATCTAACTTCTTCTTCTCATACCTTGCATGAGCCACCTCTCCGTCATGGTCCTCGCTGCATCCATTCCCTTCATGTATAAAATGCAATCAGTTAGCAACGTGATTATATTACATTTAAAATCAGGAAACAAAAAATGGCTCTCAAGCACTCACTGGTACATAATGCAACAACATGCTCGTCAAGACCTGCATATGTACTCTTGTCTCCTCCCTTGCCTCCTTGCTTGCTCTCTCCTCTAACACCCTCCATCTCTCCAATCCCTATTTGTTAAGCCCAACATCGATCGGGTTACGAATACCGCGCTGTCTAGCAAACTCACACATCTTGTCATTGTGATGTTTAACGAATAGCTTGACGTAGTCATGTCCATATCCCCTCTTCCGTGCAATTACTTGCCTCCCCTTCAGTTCATCCAAGAACTTAGCTTGATCATCATAACATTCCCACCTGCATTTCCTAGTGCTCTGTTCAAACGAAAAATTATATCATATATGTCTTAGCAAAAGAAACAAAATATGATTTCATATTTACCATAAAAATAACCAACCTCATCATAGTCAACCATATGGCCACAATAATGGTCTATTCCAAGCTCCGAATGGACTAGGTCATAGTTGGATTTAACACCATATTTGCACATGACAGGAGGTGCCTTATAAATTATCCTTTCTTTCTTGTTTTCCTTAACCTTTGGTGGTTCTTCCGGCCATTGGTTCTTAGGACCATACAACCACTTTTTAAAATGACACTTCGCCATTGAAAACACCTAAATAAGGTGACATTAGCACATGAACATATATAGCTCAATATTTCAACACATACACTTTTCACTTACTTTATATTTGTTTGGACACGCAAACTCCAACGTATTCTCAGGGTTTATCACAGCTCGATCTCCGCAATCACGCAGAGGAGGTTCCTCGAGTCGTTTAACTGCGGCTAAGTGCTTCTCCTTAGCCGTCATTGGAGGAGGGTTAGGGGGAGGTGGAACCCACTGCTCGAAGTGCTCTCGTGGATGTCGCCCTCTCCACCAATCGTCGAAAAGGAGGTACCTGGGTCAAACTTGTCTGCACCGTCGATCCACTGAAAGAAAAGGCACCTCTCATGGGCCTACACAACAAAATTCCAATAAAATATTAGTAACCTAGTAATACAAATGAAGAAAAAAAAATATACGGAAATAATTACTTACATTAAAACGACTGCATGTGTAGAAGCAACGAGCCGCTATGTCCGGATGTCTCGATTGAAACACGTCAGCCGGACGACCACAGTCACAGTTAGGGACAAGGAGGTCAGGAAGGACGGGGGCATCTTTGCTAGACTCGTCGGGGTATAATTCTCTAGGATGATCCCGTTTTCGCCACAACTGCTCCTAAAACATGTCTTCCATCTAATAAAACGATTCAAATTAAACATCAATCAAAACAACACAAATTAATGTAAAATATAATCATTTGCATTGCAACTCAAATAATATAACCAACACTTATAGCAACAAAAATATACATAGTAAACATACTTCTAACTAAATAATTAACCTTAACATCGACAAAATCAAACTAATATCTTCCTCCAAACCATAGCCCATAATTCCCAAACATAATTTTTCTCCTAATCTTAACTCTCATTCATAATATTTTAATCCACCCTTCAAACGAAAATAAAAAGTACGTCATTACCTTGAACGAGGATGAGGAGGGAGGGAGGCAGCCAGGAAATGGAAGGGAAGAGAGGGAGGGAGGCGGCAACAGAGGGTCGGGCGCCGACAACACTTAGGAGTGGCAGGCAGGCGCGGCGGGCGCGAAGACGCAGCGGACAGGCAATCAGGCGCGGCAGGCAGGCGGGACTGGGCCGCGGACCTTTATCCGGCTCTGTCGCGCCACCGATCTGGGCGCGGCAGAGCCGTGCCAAGATCGGTGGCGCAGTAGACCCTGCCACGTCACCGGCCAGCGCCCCGATTGTCGCCACGTCATCCCTCTTGCCGCGCCACCATGCATGGCGTGACACAGGCGTTTCGCCGCGCCAGGAAAATAGGCGCGGTCAAAAGTGTTAGTTTTGAAAAAAAAAACAGTGTTAGATTTAAAATTAGTTTAAAAAAAGTGTTAAAAATAAATAAAAAACGCGATGGAGGGGAGGGAGTTGGTCTTTTGCAACAAAATCAGTTCATGTGGACTGAATCAGCACAAGTAACTTTTAAAAATAAGCCGTATGACCACTACTATATTGTTTTGCAACTACCTAGCTTTCATGAACCATCTGAGATTGAAACTGATTCCTATGACCACAACTACCTGTATGTAGATTGTACATTTATCACCGCCCTTGCTCAGATCACACGTTACGTGCTGCGTATAGCATGGTTCCTCGCTCCTCCTGCAGAGTGAAGTATGAGCTCCATGCCCTGACCTCAATGCTCAATTGCTCAACTAGGTTACCTTATCACACGGAATGACAGAAGAACCAAACGCAACGCGCAAAACTCACAGATCAAGATGAACACATTACACAAAACTTGCAACTGATACTGAATCTTGTGCTCTGCGACGTGAACGTTGGGGATGCCGTCCAACGTCTTCTCTTTGGGTTGCTACCCAAATATCACCCAAGTCTAGGCGTAGCAAACTATAATTTAGAACGATGGGATAATATATTTAAGAGTTAAATGCACCGGCGGTCCTTGAACTTGTGGCGCTAAACTTGTGGCGCTATGTCATGTAGGTACATGAACTCTGAAAATGCATTTTTGGGCCCCCAAACTTGCTAACCGTGCCAAATAGGTCCAAATCTACTTAAAACGCATCTCTCTTCTCTAATCCCTCTCATCATCCCTATTAACGCTGACGTGGACCTCCCTCCCTCTCATTCTATCTCTATCTCTCCCCTCCCCAACAGCCTCTGCTCCCTCCCCGCATGCGGCCGCCAGTGCTCCCTCTCACGTGCCGCCGGCCACCGCTCCTCCTCCTCCTTCCCTTCCACGGCGGCGCTCCTCCTCCTCCTCACCCACGCCCGGCCGCCCCCCCTCCCCTCCCTTCCCATGCATCGGCGCCGATCTGGGACTACCGATTCAGCCAGCACGCCGCCGAGGCGGTTCTGCTCAGGCGTCTGCGGCGCAAGGATGATGACGACGACGGTGGCCGGCGGCCAACCCCCTGCAAGCACACCATGGCACGAAGGCTGGACACAGAGCGAACTCAACGGCGGCGGCATTCTCACGGCGAGGCTCGGTGTGGCGGTCACGTGGCGGCGAGGTCCTGCAGCTTCTGGAGGCGACGGCGAGGACGGTGAAGATGGCGACGGGCATGAGCAGGAATTGCAACCCGCGCCTTTCACCACGGCCATGGCGGCGTTCGCGCCCCTGCCTCCGCCGCGGAACAGGAGCCAACACGGCAAGAATGCGACGGTGGTGGCCGGCGCGACGGTGGGGGGGTTGGTGGTGCTGGGCATCCGGGTGGCGGCGGCGCTGATGGAGTCGCGGCACGGGAGGAACAAGCGCGTCGCCGGCGACGTGGACAAGGGCGGCGGAGCAGTGGCTGAGGAGGAGGAGCGTCGTGTGCCCACATAGGGCCGCCGTGGGGGGGGGCTCGGCGGCGACGACGGGCACGCATGTGGCCCAGGAGGCGGCGATGCAGGGATTAGGGAAGAGAGGGGGCGGCGGACGGCGGCGGGGGGAGAGGGAGGCGCGGTGGCCGCCGACACGGGGGTAGGGAGGCGTGTCGGTTGGCGACGTGGGAAGAGAGACGGAGGGGGGCGGCCGGCGGCGCGGGAGGAGGGAGGAGGCGGCCGGCGGCGCGGGGTGAGGGAGGAGTGGCCGGCGGCGCAGGAAGGGAGGAAGGAGCGGTGACTGGCGGCACGGGAGAGGGAGCACCGGCGGCCGCGCGCGGGGTGGGAGCAGAGGCCGGTGGGGAGGAGAGAGAGAGAGAGAATGAGAGGGAGGGAGGTCCACGTCAGCGTTAATAGGGATGACGAGAGGGATTAGAGGAGAGAGATGCGTTTTAGAGTAGATTTGGACCTATTTGGCACGGTTAGCAAGTTTGGGGGCCTAAAAATGTATTTTCAGAGTTCATGTACCTACATGACACAGCGCCACAAATTCAACGGCCGCCGGTGCATTTAACTCAATATTTAATGTAGGTTTCTTACTGTATGAAGTAGGAACATAGACTCTTGGATCACGTTACTCCTCATCTCACTCAATTGATCAAACGATATATAACAGGACCATAATTAAGACACAAACAAAACTTGTTTCTACTGACGGCAACGATTACTTAAGAAGTAAAGTAACAGGGAAAGCTATATATCTTGATGGGTAGGCAGCACCCAGAAAGGATTCCGAAGAAGCTCCGGAATGTCTGGGCACGGCCGCACAGCCTCCAAGCTCTGCTCATCCAGGTCGTAGTCTCGTAGATGCAAAGCAGCCCACCGTCCATCTCCTTCAATACATTGTGATTGAAGTAGACGCGGTTCCCCTTGATTCCGTACTTGCTCGCCGACACAAGCAGCTGAGAGTTGGGGTAGCTCAGCAGGAACACCCTATCGCCCAGCCTGTTCGCTTGTTCGTAAACGATCGTAAATTTCCAGCCAGGAACAGTGTTTTTCTCTCACACCAAATCAGCCAGCAGTAAATAATCCACGATACGATACGGTCTCCCGAAGGCTGGGTCCTTCACCTCACGCGGAGTGGCGGCCCCTGCCCCTGCCCCTGCCCCTGACAGGTGGACCTTATAGACACACACCGTCAGGACCTCGGGGCTGAATTCCTTGTGGCATATGTGTACGTCGAACAGCTCGCCACGTGACGCCACCAGGTGCCCCCGGCGGCAGTTGCATCCCTCCGGGAACTCGGGCTCCGGGTAGTCGACGAAGCTCAACTCCGGCGTCGCCTGCGACAAGTCGACGACCCCCAGCTTCCCGGCCTCCGCTTCGAAATAGAACTTGCCACCCACGTCGGCCATCTGCAGGATGACCAACGACCCCGGCGGCGCGTAGTCGGGCGGCGGCAGGATCCGGTTGCCGATGTCGTAGTCGTGCGACTTCCACCCGCCAACACGGCAGTACCGGAAACTGGGCTTGCGGATATCGAGTACGAGAACGTGGCACGACGCAGCGGTGGGCGCGTCGGAGAGATAGCACTTCCAGTCGTCGCCGTACTCCGGTAGCTCGCCCTCCATCGCAGGAAGGGAGACGCGCTCGCCGGTGCGAGGGTCCCACAGGCGGGTAGTGCGCGGCGACGGCCCGGGCGCCACCAGGAGGACCCACCCGTGCGGCGTCACGTAGTAGTAGTCCGCCAGCTCCGGCACGACGCCTGCGTGGAGGCTCTGGTCGCCGATGGCCAACGCCGTCTGCCTGTTGTTGGTCCAGCCCATGATCGTACACGAGCACAGGCAGGGTGCCAAGCGGCGGGCGGCTACCGGCGTCGGCGGGCACCTATCCGGCTATCCCCCATCGTTGATTTATTTGGCCGCGCCGCTTCTTCCTTTCCAACGAGAAAATTGGATATCTGGGACTCCAAATATTGACTCTTCGATCACGTTAACACTCGTGTGGATGACAAATGAGTCTATCTGTGTCTATAAATATGGATCTAGTATCAAATTTACAAACGACGAATGTTTTAAGTCCCATTTTTTCAATTGTCCCCATTCCAACCGGAAGGTGATTGGAACGAGCGGTAGCGTTTTGTAGATGCGTGCGTAACCTGCTCTGCTTCACCCGACCGGCCCGAACTCAAACCCCTGTGCCTTGGAAATTTTTCTCACAAAAAAAAAACTTTCTTCTGTCCCGCCCTCTCGTATCTCCTCTGAATGCCGACTCCAGGTAAAGTACAACTCTTTGCACGTCCGTAGCAAGGATTCTTTTACTATGCTGCGTGTCCAAGACTTGTGGAGTCTTGAGTTCTGGCACATAAAGGCATGTTTAGCAGCGCTCCCTTCGGCTTGGACCCATCCGTTGCATACACTTTTGTCCGTGATTACGCGCCATCGGCGCCATCCTTTCTCCGTCTGCCAAAACTCTTAACTCTCTGTCTCTCGTCTGTGCCAAAGTGAGCACTAAATAATGACACAATATACTACCAAGAGGCAATCTAAAATTAATACAACCTCCTATGCTAGATCGGCCACTAGTATGGCTATTTTTTTCCTTGCCATGCACCCACCTTCCATAATTTTGAACTGAGTTCAGCAATTAGAAGGATCATGTATGTAAGTGCACCCACTTGACAAGTTCTTGAACTGGTTGAGCAATTAAAGAGATAATGTATGTAAGTGCACCCACTTGCCAAGTTTATGGCCCTATTCGCTTTGCTGAAAAGCGAAAGTATTGTTCGCTAATTTATTGTGAGAGAAAAATACTATTCGTTCGCTGAAAATAGTACGGCTCATAAAGCGAATAGGGCCTATGTACTAAATATGCATTTTACTCTTTTTTTTAAAAAAAAAAGAATGAACAAATGAACAAAGACGCCTATCATTCAGAAAAATGATGGATCCACCCTCCCTGCTTGTAATATACACATCTTCTGGTAATGTCAGTGTCTCCCCTCAGATTGTCACTGGATCAATTAAGGTTTGATCCTCTTGCATTCCTCTTATAGTTGAATCGATTCGCAAGTGCCTCCCCTCATATTGTCACTAGATCAATTAAGGTTTGATCCTCAGTCTTGCATTCCTCTTATAGTAGTTTCGATTTGGAAGGTTGACGAGAGAATTCTAAAGAGACCATCTGGGTTGTCTGCATGAACCTGGAAGGAAACATGCAAATAATCAAATCTTTTGGTTTGCACCTTTATAGTAAAAAAAAAAGGCGGATGCCAAAATACCCAGTGTCCAGCATCTTCAAGCACGTGCATTTCAACTCCACCACCCTCATCAGCAGCTAATTCCTTCGCAGTATGAATTCTTTGGAGGTCTTCAAGAGCCCATCTATGCAAACTTCGTTCAGCTTTTAGAAAATTAATATGAACACCCCTTGGTACATTCTCTACAATCCTCCTGAATGGAGCAGCATTCCATTAGTCACACAACGTACTTTCTTTAGATGATCTCAACTGGCATCGCTGAAGATTTACCATAAGTTAGTATCCTCATAAGACTTGTACATCTCAGAGATGCCATTTAGGTCAAAAGTCCATGAGAAGCTTGAAGATGATCGCTGACCCAATGGACTGGTTCAACGTAGATTTGTGGCCACCCACTGAAACAAAGAAACAACACAAAAAAGGAATACATGTTGACTGTTGTTTCATTGGAGACAACAAGATAGAGTAGCCTGAAAGGGCATCTCAATAAGCTGTTAACCATACCCGTGCAACATCCACAGAAAATTGTCCTTTAACAAGTGCATCGACCACCTCCTGTTTTGAAGAAACCTGAATTTCAACAATAAAATGCAAAAGAAAAATGAATCGTAAAGCTGTGACAGGGCACCAAAATGTATTGCCCAGTACAAGTTTTTAAGATACTTCTTAAAGTCCAACCTGCTCAGGCATTCTTCTGAGAAAATAAGTTCAGCAGGGTGATCTTCACCATCTCCCCCGGCACGAACTTTGCCAGGAGTAGCATCAAGAACCCATACCTTTTAAGGAACAGAATACCAAGAAAATAAGCATAAAAGAGAAGAACTAATCAATGCAAACACATTTCAATCACACCAACAACATTCAAAACAAGAAGTAAAGCTCACTCTAACAGGACGAGAAAGTGGTTTTGCAGCTTGTTCTACCATACTCAAGGCCACTGCAAAACTCATATATGAGTACCAGTATACATTTTAATTACTTTTGTTGTAAAGCATGACATTTATAAAAGATAAAGACATATATTAATAAAACCTTTTCCGCCAAAGCTGTGACCAACCAAAACCCGAGGGGTTAGCCTGAGCTGCACTATCTGTTGGATTTTGATGAAGCAAAATATAAGTAAGCTAAAAAAGGAGTGAACAGCCGAGAAATAACAAATAGCACCAAATATAACATATAAGTTTTAAAACAGGTGTAGTGCCATGCCACCAAATCACTTTGTCATTTACTTCATAGTGATGATTATTAAATTACAGGAATCTCAAATCTGCATTTTGACGCTGATGCATGTAACATAACATGAAGGGTTAGGTCTGTCTCCAAATGCATAAAGCTAGATTTGCAATAAGATGAATATGCAGATATTGCGCAAGCACATTGGACACAGATGCAGTTTGTTTTCAAACAAGCTACACATCTTGTTCTATTGATAAAAAATGAAGATTGAAAACATGAGAAGCCATGGGGCGAAGACATAAATAGCTGACGCAAGAAGCTACAAACCAGCTTTAGAACATCAAGAGCAGTTGAGGCAACAGTGTGTGGTCCACGCTTTTTAATTGATGCTGAGTCGCCATGGCAGCGCAAATCAACCAAGAGGAACTGCATAAAGAGAAATGTCAATCATTTTTCATATATGCATTGTAGAGCAATTCCGACCATCGTCAGAACGATAGATATAATGACCTGCCACATTGGGAATTCCTGAGCCAATCTCTTCGCGAAAGATCCTTCACAGACAAATGGTTTGTTAGTCACGTGGTTCACAATCAAAACATAAAAGTATCACGTATGTTCCTATAACAAAATACGAAATGATACACTATGAAGACAAATTATAAGCGCGTATTGAGGACTCCTCATTTACCCCAGTTTTTCCTGCTCCCAAGGATTCCATGAAGAAGAACAGCTGTTGGTGGATCAGGTATTGATTTGTCCATAAACGAATTCCACTGCACCTGAAGTTAAAGTGTTGAATTTGATTTATGTTGATTGCACAAAAATATTTCAACATCAAGCTAGTGTTACAACTAATGACAGATAATTTGCGTGAATGCAAAACTTACAAGGTTCCCTTGAACCAGATCATAGGCCTGCAGATGAACACAAAACATTTGTCAGCACAAGGGAAGAGGACTCATCCCATACAAAAATACTCTGAAAGCTTCCATACCAGAACTCCAGCATGCTTGTCAACATCAGGCTGGTAAGGAATTCTTGTGTCGGCCAAAGCCATTTGAGCACAACTGCATGGAGGGCATCGCAAAGGACTTGAATTCAGACTAGACGATGTCAACAGGCAGTTATTATGGAAATTCTCCTGAAACCAAGAGGCAAAGGTATAATCACAGTGACAAGTTGAGATTTCTGCTGATGATACATAAATCAGACAAATTTGGACAACTGCATTAGCGGATGCCATCATGCAGGCAAGCCAATATTCATTTAATGTCATCTTCAACATTGTACTCTCTTCATCATAACCCTAATTTAAGTTCCAGATCTCCCTCCTTTGCATCATATGTCTGTTTTTGTTCTCTTTTTTTATTAAAAGTAGCAAGACATAACAATAGTGGAACTAGTAAATATGAATAAATGTGGGATCTGAAATATTTAGTTATAGTCAAAGTAAGAAATGATTTTCTGTTTAGAGCCCTCCTTAAAACTAAATAAACTACAATGATTACTACAGCAAACACATAAAATTGCCACAGAAGAAACTAATGACTAGTCACTAGTACGGCCATAAGAAGCAATGCTAATGATTTGTGAGTCCATGATCATCAGTTCCATTACCCCAAAATTCCCTCCATTCTAGTGCCACTATGTGACAAAAAAAGATTTGGAGGCAAATGAAATCGAGGCAATCCATGCTATGAAATCAAAAAATCCAGCTGCCAAAATGTAAGAAATACATCAACAAACAGTTTGTTTACTTGTATAGCAATAGGATTGTACAGTGAAGTGACCTAATTGCATCTGCACTAGGCCGATCACCATTCCACCACCCGCCACCTCACACCCTCAAAATTGCACCAAAACCTCGCGTTTAGCTCCAAATCCAGCAACGCGAGCCGTTAGCACCCATAACCCCACCAAGCACTAGCTCCTACAGCAACCGACCACGACGACTAAACGGAACGCAGCATGATTCTGGGCACCCGGAGCGAGCGCAGGCAGAGCCGTACCTCGCAAGGCCGCGCCGCGCGAACCCTAGCCCCGGGTCGCGGCGCGCAGAGGCTCACGGCTCCGAGCGGAGCTCTTCTCGACGGCGCGGAGAGAGCGCGCGGCGGCGGTGGCGCGCGCGCCGCCGCCGACATCAGATCACCGGGGAGCGGGGTCAGCAAAGGGGCGCGAGCGAGCGGGGGCACGCGCCGAGACGAGCCAAATTGGTGCTTGTTTTCCTTGCAAATAAAAAAATGGTCGGTTTGTTTGGTCAGTTTTGTGGTGTGGAAACGGGCGGAAAAAGGGTGGAGACGGAGAACCCAAAGCACTAGAGGCTGGCGCGCGGGGCCACGGAGTACTGCCAGGTGGGATCGTATACGGGAAAAGTCCTCATGGCGGCGGTGTGTGGTCGGCTGCCGTTGGTCCTCGCGTGCGTCAGCCGTCAGTGCGTGGTGGGGACGTGGCGACCAGACCACAGCACACCAGGGCCATGCTGAATGTCTGGGCCGCGGCCCGGCCGCCGCGCCCGTCCCTCGTCCACAGCTGTTCAAGCGCACAAGGCCCTGCACCGTGCACAAACAGGCCCGGTCCAGCGGGTCTCAGCCTGCCTTGCAGCTGGTATTAACCAAGTCGATCCTGTAGTAGAATTTGCATCAACGCCACATCAGGCAGCCAAGGCTCAAGAGCCGATGCCCGTACAAATGAGAACGGCCGGGCTGCCGCCAGTAGTCTCTCCTCTTGTTTTCCCTGTGGCGGACCGCACGGTGCAGACGATGAGACGACACAGAGGAACGGCGCAAACCAGGTAGGTTGTCGAGGTCAATCGATCTTCGTTCAGAACGTTCGAAGACGAATCACGAATGAATATGCAATGCAAAATCTTCCACAGACCAGTGATTGGGCGGCGATCTAGTAGAAAGGACGACGCAAGGACACAACAAAATGACATGCGTCTAATTTATTCTCTCGTCCTTCGTTTTGCATGTGAATGCGAGCACGGCATCTCGCTGTCGTTCTTGGTCTACTGCGTACGATCGGTCGGTGTTACTGGTAGCTCGTACATCGCATTCGGCTCTCTGTCTTCCTACAAACAGCTGCACCTAGCTATAGAAACAAACAATAATGCCGGACACGGATCTTGCTAGTAAGCTGCAACAAGCAGCTTTCCATGTGCAGATGTGCTAGACTAAATTACTGCATCGATCATGTTGTTTCAGTCTGCTGCAGTGTCTGTCGAATTTTCCTTTGATTCAAAACAAGGCTTGATAAATGAATCCTTCCCTTAATTTTTTTTTACTTTCTTCGCCATCTTCTCTTTGAGAGAAAAACCTGGAGCTTTGTTTCTTTTTTTTTTAATGTTCTCCAAGTCGTATCTTAACCGAAGCAAATGAAAGTCATGCTGGTCCAAAGTGCACGATCGATCCTCCGTCCGCAAGAGTCGCGTCTGTCCAACCGTCCAGTTTCAGCGATAATGGCTTGTGTGGTACACGTTTCAGGGGACCCTGATGGATCTCCATGTCTTCGGTTGCGGATATTCATTGGATAAGCAATGGACATAGACCTCCTCTCCTGCCTGAGCTACCCTGCATGAATGCTGTCTCTGTGCGAACAAAGAAAATCCCAGGAAGGAGAGCATTATCATCATACGAAGTGATCTTGCTATGGAGTATCATCGAATGATACATATGTTCATTTGATACACCTGTTAGGTCTTAGGAGTACACTATGACGTTCAAAGAATATTGTAAGATATATTTGTCATCGCATCTTCAGTCTACTGATTGAAGTATACTGCTGTGTAAGCAATTACATTTTGAGGCTAAGCTAAGCTATGAAGCGTCCCGCATCCCGTGCAGTGATGTACAAGGCTTGCACTGTCTTCTTCAAACCGCTATCTGTACGTGGCACACTGACTGTACACTGTTCTTGTTTCCAATCTCTTCCCATCCCAACTCCCGCTAACTGTAAAAGAAGAAGCTAGTTAACTGTCCACTTCACAGACCAAAAAGGCCGCTGCACTGCACGTTTGTATTCACGGGATGGAACCGCTTCACTGACACATGGTTTATGCTGCCTAATCCTACTTGGAAGCTGGGATTCCTGATATTCATCGACTGTTCAATTCTGCACCTAAAGTACTGGCACGCGGCACGCCGTTTAATTCTGGTGTTCTGCTCCTGTCATCCTGTGATTCAGACCGTTGACGTTCATGGCCTCTCTACACCCTAATGTGGATTAGTTCAGACTGTCCAGGGCCTATGCAGCAAGAAATAGACAACTTGATCTGAGGTTTCAAATGGGACTTTTGAATGAGAGAGATGCTGTGACCCTCGCATGTGTGAGGAATGATGGCGCTCACCCAATTCGCATGGCAAAACGTATCTTTTTCCTGTTTTAGCTTATGATATGGCTCGAACCGTACTGGGTTATAGATAGACACAATGGGAGGGCAAGTAGTAGAACCCAATTTCAAGTACGCAAACATATGGACCCCATTCTTGACCGATGGAAAGGCAAGGCCCAACAACCTATCCCCCATCCTCTGCTAAAAAAAAACTATCCCCCATCCATGCTGCAGACGCCCCCATCTTCTTTTCCTTTTTCCAGGAAAATTTAGATCTGCGCCCGAATATTCCGAGGCGCCCATAAAGTGTCCCATAAAATTTATTTGGACTAACAAATATATTTATACATATATACTATAATTTTAATAAAACCAGTCAGGACTCTTCTGCTCGAAGGAGCAAACGCCCTCGGAAGAGAGTGTGACTGACCAAAATTTAGAGAATTTGTTTCTCCTTTTATTTAATAGTATATAGGTAAATACTCTCTCCTAGAATGTAATTCTGATTTTCTTAGAGTCAAACGGTTTAAAGTTCGATCAAGTTTAAGTAAAATATATCTATAAAATACTATAAATTTGAGGGGTTGTCACACCGCGACTACTGTTCATCCGGCGCGCCCCTGACCCAGATAAGGAACAGTACCACCTCTTTTTTCCCCTCAAAGCGCCCACTGTTGCCCGCGCTTGCCTGCTAGTTAACATTTATGTTACAAAATAAATATCATTAAATTAATGACAAAATATATTTTCGTAGTAAATCTAGTTATAGAGACATGAATGTTAATAATATTTACTACAAATTTAATCAAAATTAAGCTAGTTTGACTTGCATAAATCTTATAATTGCACCTTTTTATGGGCAAAGGGAGTTTACGAGAAAACGAACGAGCGAGATATGGCTCAGTTGTTCTTCTTTGAGTAAAATTCATAGGTTGTCCCTAAACTTGCACAATTGTGTCATCTAGATCCACAACTCTAAAAATTTGATATTTGAGTCTTTAAACTTGTATAGCGGTGTCACTCGGGTCCGAAGCTATCGAATTATTTGGTCTCAAAACTTGTACTGCAGTGGCATTTAGGTCCCCAAACTTGTACATTAACACATTGATGACGCTAACATGGCATGATAATTTTGTGTTCGTGAACAAATTTGTGGGACTAAATGACACCATTATACAAGCTTGAGGATTCAAATATCGAAAATCGAGAGTTAGGGACCAGCGAGTGACACTGCAATACATGTTTAGGGACTCAAATATCAAAATTTAATAGTTGAGGTAGATGACACTGCTGTGCAAGTTTAGAGATTGCTTGCGAATTTTACTCTTTTTCTTTCGTCTCCAATGACACCTGATTTTCTAGCAAATTCGTTGCATTGGGCTAGCTCGAAAAGGAGGATGGGAGAATCTAGCGAGGCCCAGTGCAGTAATGGTAGCCGCCAACAAGCGAAATAGCCAACAGATTAGATTCCCACGGATGGAGGGTGCCTTGGCCCTGTCACGGGCTACCCTTGCATCATTCAGAGGATTGCAGGTAGCCTCCTGTGCATGGACCAAACCGATCGGAAAGCAGCAGTGATCAATGATCAGGCAGCCGCTCGTGCAGCAGCGTAAAGGAGAGAGAGGACGATGGTCGCCCTCACACCACACCTCGTCCTTTCCAAGAGCGCTGCAAGGTGCAGCAAGCCCATCCGTTCGTTCTCCTCACTGACCCGGCGTTCCGTTGGGCACTTGGGTTTCTACTTTCTTGGCAGCTGGGTGCCTGGGTCATGTCTCGTGGCAACATAGCCTTGCGTGATTTGGTTTGGCAGGCACGGCCTAGCTACATGCATCTAGCACGAGCGGTTGGGCGGGCAGCAGTGTGAGCTGAAGCTAGCCTTGCTGATTGATTGATTAGCTGCGTTAGTTATGAACAAACAGTACGTTCACCGGCACTTTTTGGGAGGAGGAGCACGGTGCCTGCTGTCCTGGGTCAGAAGTGACATTTGGACATGGCATCAGCCGCCGTACCAGTCCGGACGACCAGCGCACTTTGATTGACTTATAAGTTGTATTTTTTTAGTTAATAAATAGTATTTTTTTCACACGACAAATCAACCAACGGTACTTTTAGCTATGGCTTATCAGCCAAGCAAACATGCAGGTTTGATCTTGGACGCACTGTGAATTCTGGTTCTGACGACAAGGTTTGACTTTTACTGATGGTCTGACTCTGTTGACCTTTACTGGTCACGGTGACTGAGTGCACGCAGAAGGCCATTGTTTGGTTGATTGATGGGAGATGGCAAATATACTCTTGTGCTCTCGATCCCTGCAAATATACTCTTGTTATCCCTAGCGGATCCCGTCGTTCAGACATGCCTATAATAAAATGCGTAAGTACTCCTAACACTCCATCAGGGAAGATTCCTGCAAGTGCGCGCGCGCATCCCGTCGGTTAGACGCATTTCTTCTTTCTTGGCTGCAAGCCTGCAAGGCCATGTGGCCTTCATGTGCAGTTTGCCCTTGGACGCTTCTCCGGTTCTCCCCTCCGAGCTCACGTCCTCGGTCCTCCTGCATGCCGGCCCATAAGCGTCCCTTGTTGTCACTTGCATGTGGGACCGGACCCGACATGTTGACCCTAGCCAAGGCGCGCAGGCATCCAGTGGGTCCGTGGGTGAGCCGTCACCGATGCTGCTCACACGTCGGATCTGACCAGCCCAATATTAGCTGCGATGCAAGTCGGTAGGCAGTTTTTTGAGTTTTTTTTACTGACGGAAGAAGAGGAATAAGGCCCGGCCAGGATGCATGTCGGCAGAACATCCCCGGGCTA